AGCACCACCCCTCCCATTAGTTAATCCATGGGTGGCTGGTGCCAGCTAGAACCCTGCTGAAGCAGGAGAGCAGGCTGGGTGATTCAGGCGAGCAGGGAAGCAGACAGCTACTCCCCACAGCACCCAGCCAGCGACTGATAGCTCTGCTCTGAGCCCCTGCTGCAGGGAAGACTCAGGCAGATGCAGGAAGAGTTGCCGATGGTTCAGCAAGACGGGGGGCTTCCCTCTGCTGCAGCACGGAGCCAGCTCCCCAGCACGGCACTCGGAGGCGTTATGCCACCAGCCATAGCACCATCAGCAGGTCATAGGAAACCCAGGGCTTGAACTTCTGTCCTCGGTATTTAACACCCACCCCCAAGGGCATTGTCTGGCGATGCCCTCCTCCTCCAATCGACTAGGGGAGGGGACACAATGCTGAGCATCTCCTTCCCCCAGCAGGGGCTGAAAGGGGCACGCCCAGACCCTGCTCCGGGGAGGCCCATGGGAGCACAAGGCCGTGTGCAGGGACTGAACCTGTAATCCTCCCAGGGCCCTACCAGACCAGCCACCTCGGCCTTTCAAACACATGGCGCAGGCGTGGCCCTGTCCCCCAGCTGTCACTAGTAAATCCGCGTAGCCGCTGAAAGGTCCCAAACGCTGAGTTGCCAGCCCATCACCCTGGTCTTGGGGTTCCCATAGCACAGAACAGAGCAAGCAGCTCCAGCTCTGCCCCTCTGTGCCTCGCCGCTGAGCAGCTCTCAGGAACTGGGGCGGGCCGGGGGATCACTCAGAGGAGCATGAGGCAGAAGCACCGAAGAGCGGAGCTGGGACAGGAGCCTAGACACAGCTGGACCCGATTCTGCCACCAGGGAGAGGGAAACGGGGGGCAGGCTAGGAGCAGGAAGCTGGGAACCAAGCCAGGTCCTAGATCCCATCTCACGCACCCCAAACCCAGAGGGGTGGAGCTCAGGCCCAGGGGACGGGAGACAGCCATGGAGCTACATGCCCATCACACAGGCGGGGTGAGGGCCAGCCCTGGCTCATCACCAAGCCATCTACCTCCCTGCCCCCTGTCGAGCTATATCTAGCTAGAGAGACAGACCGACCGCCCTTCTGTGGGCAGACACATGCCTGTCCACATGCTGTATCTGCCCCGGCTCTGCCCTGGGTCTAGGCTCACATTTAAAGGAAGCCGGGCGGGGTGACTCTCTGAAGCAGCCGTAGCAAAGGAGTCCTTTGAAAGCAGCAGGACCCAATCCGGACCTCCCGCTCCAGCTGCCAGAGCCAGAGGGAGAGGTGGTTTGGCAGAGACAAGCTCTTGGGAGGACATGTTAGGAGGAGGGGAGCTTTCCTCGGAAAGGCGAGCGCTCATTAAAAGCAGCCAACGCCGGCCAGCTGTCAGAGTGCGTGGGTGAAGCTGAGCATTGATCCCACCGCTCAGAATAAGGGCGGAGAACCCGGCACTAAGGGGCGCTGTGCCGCTGGCCACTTGTGGTCACTGAGTGTCAGCCCCATCACCCTTTTCCCCCTAGTGCGGGGCCGTCCCATGCAATCCCCTTTCACTTCCTAAAATCATCCCTGCTGGCTTCAGTGGGATACCATATTCCTCGCTTCCTGCCCTACACTCCAACGGCAGTGACATTGCTAGGTGCTATCGGTACGCAGTACTGCTTAGAGGAAGGGTGACCAGGTGTCTGGTTTTGGACCAGAACACCTGGTCGAAAAGGGATCCTGGCAGCTCCGGTCAGCACTGCTGAACAGGCTGTTAAAAGTCTGGTTGATGGTGCTGTGGTGCTAAGGCAGGCTAGTCCCTACCTGTCCTGGCTGGCTCTGTGCTGCACCTCAGAAGCAGCCGGCAGGTTCGGCTCCTAGGCGGGGGCGCCACGGGGCTCTGTGCACTGCCCCTGCCCCGAGCACCCGCTTCGCACTCCCATTGGCCAGGAACCAGCCAATGGGAGCTGGGGGGCGGTGCCTGCAAATGAGAGCGGTGTGAGGATCCTCCTGCCCCCACCATCCCTGCCTAGGACCCGGACTTTGCTGGCTGCTTCCAGGGCATGCGCAGCACAGTGCAAGGACAGGCAAGCAGCCTGCCTTAGCCCCCTCACTGCGCCACTGACCAGGAGCATCCGAGGTAAGCCCGCTCTCAACCCCAAATCCCAACCCCCTGCCCCAACCCTGAGCCCCCCCCAACCCAGAGCACCCTCCTGCACCCCAAATCCCTCATCCCCAGCCCCACCCCAGAGCCCTCTCCCACACCCTCAACCCCTCATTTCTGGCCCCACACCGGAGCCTGCACACCCAGTTAGAGCCCTCACCCCTTCCCACACCCCAACCCCCTACCCCAGCCCTGTGAAAGTGAGTGAGGGTGGGGTAGAGTGAGCCACCGAGGGAGGGGAAATGTATTGAGTGGGGGGTGAGGCCTTGGGGAAGGGGCGGGGCCTCGGGGAAGGGGCAGGGGTAGGGTGTTCGGTTTTGTGCGACTAGAAAGTTGGCAACCCTACTTAGAGGCTGCAACCAAGCTCAGGGCCTCAGCGTGCCAGGTGCTGTACAGACCCATAGTGAGAGACAGCCCCTGCCCTACAATCTGAATAGACCACAAGTGGGAGAGTGGAGGCAATATCACCCCCCTTTCACACCAGGGGAACTGAGGCACAGAGCGGCTAAGCAACACGACCATGGTCACATTGGAGGCCTAGGGCAGAGGAGGGAGTTGAACTCCCATTTTCTGACCCCAGCTCAAGACCTGAAGCACAAGCCCATCCCCCCCCTCCCCCAGCCACCTGCTACCCCGAGAGCTGCAGCTGCAGGGACAGCCCGGGAAGGAGCCGGGGACACAGACAAGAGGCTGGGAATCTGCTAAGTGCTCTGGAGCTCACCACAGGCCCAGTCCAGATCAATAAATAATAATAATTCAGCCGGCGGGGGGGGCAGAAGCGAGCTGTGCTTGCAGTTAGCGGGAAAGGCAGGCAAGACACATCTGGAAGTGTCCCCCCGCAGGGCCTGGTGTGACGAGCCACGGGAGTGCTGGTGGCACATGCCTGCTTGGCAGTGACCTTCCCAAAGTCAGACCCATTTCACCGGGGAACGGCGTTGGACAAGCGCGTGCTTTGCAGCAGAAGCAGAGAAGCCTGGTCTTCAGACCAGGAGAACAGGAGTCAGGACTCCTGGGTTCTGTTCCTGCCGCTGGCTCTCTGTATGCCGCATTGTTGTAGCCGAGCTGGTCCCAGATATGAGAGAGACAAGGTGGGTGAGGTAATGTCTTTCCTTGGACCAGCTTCTGTGGGTGAGAGAGAGAAGCTTTTGAGCTACACACAGCTCTTCCTCAGGTCTCTCTGAGTGACCTTGGACAAGTCCCTGTCCCGCTCTGTGCCTCAGTTTCCCAGGGTCCAGCAGCACCTACCAAAGCACACCAGGTGTGAGGATTCACATGGTCCTCTGGCATCCTGGGATGAAACAATGCCAGGATTTGCACATGGCATCACCTTGCAGTGACCTCGCACTCATCTCATCACCACATGATACCTGGAGGGACCCAGTCATCTCAGGCCCCTTGAATACCCTACGGTCTAGAACAGGGAGATCCCCCTACTGAAACTGGGAGGAGCCAGGACTGATGCCCCTAAGTCAGTGCCAGGTCAGGAATGTTTGCCCTTTGCATCACCCTGCCACTGAGAGCCCTGCAGGCCCAGGAGGGCTAAGTGAGGAGAAGCAGAGAAGGCTGGCGCTGGCTGGGTGTGGTCCTTTCCCTGACAAAGACACCCCCCCCCTTGGCAAACCAAAGCCCCAACCAAGCGGGTCACAGCAGGGCATGGACAGTCTGGATTCTGGAGAGCGGGCAGGAAAGAGACTGCCCACTGCCCACGTGGCTGTTGGTGGGGCCACAACGAAACCAAGACTGAGCGGCAGGATTGGCACCCAGAGCAAAGTCTTCCAAAGTGTGGGGGGGGCACTGGGTGTGTGCAGGGCAGGGGGGTGGCAAGGGTGGAATATGGGGGTGTGGAGCACAGTGGGAGTGGGGTTGGGTCCAGCCCGGCATAGGGATGGGGGGCGGATAGTTCAGGCCATTGTTTGGCTCAGGACCTGGCTCCAGTCTCACTGGTTATGTCGTTGGGAAGCCGGTGACCCTCAGCTGGGGCTTCCTTGTTCCAGCCCAGGAGGGAGGTGGAGGCCAGGACCATCCCCTTTGGACCGACAACCCCATACCCGCCTCCCGCCCCCTTCGCTCCCGGGCTTTATGTGCTACGACCGACTCGTGCCCATAGGTGGCAGCAGCCCACTGGCCCTGCGGCTCCGGGAGCCCCAAGTCCCGGTCTCAGCCACACAGGGACATTCTCTGGCTTTCCACGGTTCATTTGCCTTCCCTACGGCGCCCGCAGCCCAGCGCAGTGAGTCCAGCCCTGTTTGCATGCCCCGTCGCACAGCTCCCCGGCTGCCCCACCGCCCCTGGGAATCCCATCAGAGCAGCCACTGACCATGGCCCGGGGGCATCGTGCTTCTGTGCACGGCCCTTCAGAGACAACGCCTGGGTTAAGGCCACGGCTGCAGCAGAGGTTACAATTCACCATTGCCGAAAGCTGCCAGAGTGCACGGGGGGTTGTGTGCGTGGAGAGACGTGTGCGGTGGGGCATCCAGGCCAAAGGAACTGGATTTGTAAGAAGTTCATCCCCAGATCTCCAGCCCATAAAGAAGAGCCTGTGGGTTGGCTCAGCAGAGGGGGAAGGCCCCTGACAAAGGTCAAGGAGTATCCAGAGACTTGTCTGCGCTGGGGTATTTTTACCAGGCCTTCCCATTGCTGCAAGCCCTAGTGTAGAAGGGGCACCTGCTCTCAGTGCTGCGTCTGGCTAGCTCTCTGCAGGGCTGGGAGACGCAGCGCTGATGATGACCGCCCTCTGCGCTGGGGCGGAGTGACTTCCAGACACTGCAACCAGGCTGGATGGGAACCAACGATTGACACCTGCAGGCTTGTCCTCCCCGCCCCCCCAGCCAAGCCAGCCCGCCCACCCCCCCAGTTCACACCTCACCTGAAGGTAATGGTAGCCTCTGTCTTTGGCTTTTGCCTCCTGCAGTACCAAGGCTTTCTCCTGGCTGCCTCCCGAGCTGGGATATGCCTCCCGGGCTTGGCTGACTGTCATGGTGTGCCAGGCACTCCTCTTCAGCGTCTGGCCGTCCAGCGACATGGACATGCCAGCGCAGGCCAGGCACTTGCCCTCCCCCCCGCTTTTTAGACTCTTCAAGGTCAAGTCTCTGAAGGCACTTTCAGGAGCATCCACACAGTACTGGGTGCCCTGGTCCACGGCGTGCCGGCCGGACACCAGGTAGCTGCTGTCACTGTCCAGGTTGTCGTCAGAGCTCCACCAGCCCATCATCTTGGGCCGGTGCCGGGAGTCCAGCTTGCGGTCTTTGCTCTTGCTCCGCTTGCTGTGCCGGGACTGGTGGTGCTGGTGGTGATGGTGGTACCCATCCCCCCGGCCCTCCATCTTGGTGCCGTTGTACTCCCGCTTGGCCGGGGCCTCCAGGGAGTGGGACTTGGCGAAGAGCTTCTGGACGGAGTGGACCAGGTGGCGAATGCGGCTGGGGCTTTCGCTGCGCTGCTCCGTGGTGCTGGCCCGCTGGTACTGCAGCGTGTGGAAGCCATCATGGTGCAGCGGCAGCTGCTTCTCAAACTGGTCCAGCAGGGTGGGGGGCAGGCGGTTGATCTTGCTGGAGGGGTGGGTGGCCGCCATGCACTCGTCGCAGGAGTCGTACTGCTGCTGCGTATGGTGCATCCTGGGGAAGGTGCTGCTGCTGCTGGCGGAGAGCGGCTCGGTCAGGCTCATCGGCCCGCCTGGGCACTCAGCGGGGCTCCGAGAGGGGCAGTAGCGGTGATCCAAAGAACAAGGCTCACTGGGGCTGAGGAGGTACGGCTGCCTGGATTCCTGGCTGTGGCGGATGTAGTCCAGGGGCTGGTCACAGTCCTCTGGGATGCAGTGACACGGGTGCCCTGTGGAGCTCTGTGATTGGCTGCGCTCCCCATGATAGCCCTTCATGGTGTCAGAACCTTGCCCGGAACTTCCTCATTGTGCCGGATGATCCCTGCGGGGTCCCCTGCGGAGACAGGACAGACACATTAGCCATCTCCCATCCCACTGGCGCCTGGGCAGGTTTCCGAGCCCTGCCTCTCTTTGTACCTTCAACCTGCCCATGCGGAGAACGGTCGGTGGCGTCTCTGTACCCACCTTTCTATGAGAGCAGACTGTATGAGCCTGCTCGTCAGCTGGTGCAAATCAGCACGGCTCCTCTGACCATCTACACCAGCCAAAGATCTGGCCCTCCGCGTCTAAAAACCCGACTGTACCTGCCAATCAAGTCTGAAAGGACGGCAAAATTATGGGTGCTGAAAAGGGAACCCCAAGTAAGGCAGGTCTGTGAGCCCAGCCCAAAGTCATGCTCACGTGCAAAGCCGGCACAGGACGGACGTTCCATTTCACACAGAAAAGATGTATTAGAATTGGAAAAGGTGCAGAGAAGGGCAACCAGAATGATTAGGGGAATAGAACAGCTTCCATATGAGGAGAGATTAAAAAGACTGGGACTGCTCAGCTTGGAAAAGAGATGACCGAGGGGGACATGAGAGAGGTCTATAAAATCAGGAATGGTGTGGAGAAAGAGAGTTATTTACCCCTTCCCGTAACACAAGAACCAGGGGTCACCCAATGAAATTAACAGACAGCAGGTTTAAAACAAATAAAAGGAAGTATTTCTTCACACAACGCACAGTCAACCTGTGGAACTCCTTGCAAGGTGATGTTGTGGAGGCCAAAAGTCTAACTGGGTTCAAAGAAGAATTAGGTAAATTTACAGAGGATAAGTCAAGATAGTCAGAGACACAACCCTGGGCGTCCCTAAGCCTCTGACTGCTAGAAGCTGGGTTGGGACAACAGCGAGATAGATCACTCGATAAATTGTCCTGTTCTGTTCATTCCCACTGAAGCACTGGAAGACAGGCCCTGGGCTAGATGGAGTAGGTCTGACCAAGTATGACGGTTCTTCTAATCTAAAGGATTTTGAGATTTCAAAATCTGGCTTCACTCCCAATCAGAACAAACCCCAAACATTTCAAAGGTCTCCACAAAATAAATTGTGTTTTTTTTTAAATGTGTTTTGGATCAATTGAAACATTTCATTGTGATTTTGATTTTGGTCAGTGTTCTACTATTCTACATACTACAACACAGAATAAAAAACGATCAAAATGAAAAGTCGTTTCAAAATGAAAAATCTAAAGGTTTCATTCCAACACTTCAAAACGGGACATTTCAACGTTGTCGGAACATTCTCCACCCCCCCAGTTTTCCTCCTAGATGAAATTTTAATCCTAAGCATTTTGATTTAATCCCAACTGCACTGGCCGGTGGAAAATGGTTCTGCGTTTTTCCAACCAGCTCTACTCACGTGGCTTATAATGTGCTGAAATAAGGAGTCGGAGGGGAGAGAGAGGGCCCACTGTGATATGAAATCTCAATCCATCCTCATTCTACCTGCAGATCTTCAATCAAGCCGTCGAAATGACACTTCTGCCGTGTTCCAGTGGAGGTTACAGAGGTATTTATAGAAGCTACCTTGAAACCTCAGGAACCTATCAGTCCATTTATCAAAACGCCTGCAGTTCCCCATTCAAGACAGGCAAACAATAAGAAGAAAGAAATTGAGCAAAGAAAGTTAAACTGTACCCAGGGCATTTTATTCAACACGAGGCTCGAACCAAACGGCCTGGCTCCTCTAACAGGCTGTCTCGTGGGCTCTGAGCCATGAACTGAACAGTCTCCCGGGAATTGAAGCTGGCATTTCTCTCACATGGCTTTTTTAATGATGATTTCCTTATACATTGGTGAGGGACTGGCATGAGTCGGCACTGGTTGGGGCTATGCGACATGCTAACCTGACTTTAAGCTGTTACCCCAGCATTGCATCCAGTTCTCAGACACACCCACGGCTGCAGGGAACAGCTGTTCCATGCCACACCCAGTGGTTACCAGTGAGAACGCTGCTTTTTCCAGTCTCTCAGAGGAGTCCTACTAGCAATCTAGGCAGCCTACAGCAATGCTGCTTTAAGCTGGGATGCTTCCATCTCTCCCACACTTACCAGGGGTGGGCCAGACCAGTACTTGTATGGGAGACCCTCATGGAAAAGCCATGGTGTTATAGGGCATGATGATGAGTCAGTAGGGGGCGCTGTACCCTCTTGACTCCATATTGATTCCAATGCCCCAGCAGTCCTGCTAAAAATAATACTCCAGTATTCTGCCCAAACCACTGCACTCCTACAGTAGCACTACTGGAAAACGTAGTGGTGCTTTGGGTAACTCTTTCATTAGGTTTGGGTTCTGGCTGAGATGTAAAACCAAGCTCTTGACCCCATGTTGCCATTAAGGATCCCAGGGCACTTTTCCCAGCAGCAGAGGGCGTTGACCCCAATGTCCTGGCCAAATTGAATCGTTATAGCCTACCTCCTGCCATTCTCCTTGTAGTTCCAAGTGGATCTGGGATCTTTCTTCACTTCCTGTCCTAAACCGATGAGTAATGTTGCAGAGTGCTGTTAAACAGCTGCCACGTTCCATCCTAGAGGCAGCTGCATTTCCATGGGGTGGAAGGCAGGACCCGTAGAGATACCTTGTAAAGGGTTTGGGATGAAAGGTGTTGTGTGTATGTATTTTTATACCCTGCCTCTCAACCAGAAGGATCCCAAAGCACTTTTCAAATCACTCACAACAGTCTGTTAAATAGAACACGGCATCTGCTTAATAATAATACCCAGCTTTCATATAGCAATTTTCATCAGTAGATCTCAAAGCACTTGATCCCCAAACTATCATGATCCCCATTGTACAGATGAGGAAACTGAGGCACGGGGGGGGGGGGGGACTAATTTATGCAAGGTGACCCAGCAGGCCAGTGGCAGAGACAGGGATAGAACTCAGGTCTGAATGCCAAGGCAGCGCTCTAGCCACTAGGCAATACTGCCTCCCTATAGTACACTCCCTATAGTTTAGGCATGTGCAGTTTCTTGAGAGGCAACATGGGCCGGAGGGTTGGAAATCCACAGCCCCCTCCCCCCATTCTAATGCTGGACTTGGGCAAGACTCACCAGCTCTCTGCCTCAGTTTCCCCATCTCGTCTTGAGAACAGTAATGCTCCTCCACAGGAGTTAATGGAGATCTAGTGCTCTGAACGTAGACAGTGCTCTATACGCTAAGTATCATTAGGAGCAGAGGTGGAGAATACCTCTTACAAGGGGAGTTTAAGGAAGCAGAATGCAATTACCCCCATTGGAATCTGGGCCGGGCATAAGCTTACGTTAACCCTATCATTGCATGGGATCTTTAATGACCACAAGCAGAGAGAGAGTTTGATTTTGTGTCCCATTCCCCACCTATACCAAACCAGGGCTCTGTGCTCAAACGGATCCTACTGACCCAGCAGTGCTTGGAGGGCTCCCATCCAAATACCAACCCAGCCTGAAACGACTCCGCCAGTAGTTACTCAACCAGATCGGAAAGGAAGCCCGGTGCAAGATGGAGTAGTGGGGCTTGCTCCCGCCAGCAAAGTAGAAGGGGAGGCAGAAATTTCCCAAAGCTGTAAAACTATGAAGAAATATGGTCTTATGGGTCAGTCACTGAACTGGGTTTCAGTCCTCAGTTCTGCTACAGCTCCCTGGACAAGTCACTTCATCTCTCTGCACTCATGAGTCTTGTGAATTGCACCCAAGCGCTGCCGGGGTAGGGGAGGGGTATTTTTCTTCACCCTGAAATATTTCCCGGTAGCAATTGAGGGAGGGGAACTGGCTTAGTCAAACTTGCCAGCCTCATTGCTTCTTTTCTCCCCTTCACGCTTTTTTAATGATGAGTTCTAGCAGCTCATGAAAAAATAAAAGCGCCATCTCCAGAGACACAAGAAACAAGGTCACCTTCTTCCCCTAGCAGGTCGTTCAGGGCTTGGTTCGTGTGGGCGCCCATAGAACACAAATCATTGTTGAATTATTAATAAACATTAAACCACCCATATTAAAGGGGAAGGAAAGCCACATGGCAACACGTCTTCTCGGCAGACAGACAGACAGACACCAGCCTCCCCCGGCGTGGGCTGGACAGCTGAACTGCAGTGGCAATAGCTTATGACTACGCCGCTCGACAGCTCCGAGTGCCTGGTGCCACCATAAAGCACGAGTCGGACAAATCAGTTCAGATGCCACAAGAACATTTTTTTACAATGGCTTTTGAAAGCTGCCAGAAGTGTCTTGACTCAGCTGTTCTGCGTGGCTATAAAAGTCAAATGCAAAGTGCCCCGTACCCAGGTCTGCTGATGGTCTTCAGTGCTGACCCACAACCCCACCTGTTATTCCAGTCCAGAGCTCCCCCCACCCAGCTCTGCCAATGGCCCTCAATCCTCACCCACTTCACCCCTTGCTGTTTCAGCCCTGGACCCCCACACACACACTCTGCCAATGCCCCTTCACCCTGACCTGCAACTCTTCTTGCTATTCCAGCCTTGGCCTCCCCATACGCCTCTGCCAACACCCATTAATCCGGCAAAGTCCCGTTCTCTATTGGCTCCGTCTGCTCCCTGTCCTAACAGCAGCTAACCAGAGACTGAACGCTACAAGGAGCAAGTAGGACAGGCCCAGTCTGACCACTACACCTGCTTAAATTAAATGAGATATCCCATCTCCTAGAACTGGAAGGGACCTTGAAAGGTCATCAAGTCCAGCCCCCTGCCTTCACTAGCAGGACCAAGTACTGATTTTGCCCCAGATCCCTAAGTGGCCCCCTCAAGGACTGAACTCACAACCCTAGGTTTAGCTGGCCAATGCTCAAACCACTGAGCTATCCCTCCCCCCACTCACTCATTTGACTTGTTAATATGAAGAGCTTCTGAGTGAGATTTTAAAAGCCATTAATTTCAAAGGGGACCAGCTCTGCCTATGAGCCTAGTTGCTGAGCTGAGGAGCCAAAGAGGTCTTGGGGCATCCAAGGTTGAAACACCGACCCTGGGACCCTCACCAGTGTGGCTGGCTCGGAGGCGAGACATTCATGCTTCTGAAAGGAGAC